AAGTTTTTCTTCATTACCCATTTAAGCCGTCTCCAGCCATTATTAGTCTCAAAGTGGGTTCCTCGTCATCGAATCATCATATATATATTACTTTGTAAAATGTTATAACTAGGATGATTCTAAAGTGTTTTACATTATAAAGTTAATAACTTGGCTTAAAGATCAACCAATTTTAAGGCTAAGACTGAAAATTCTTAGAGAGCCAAGTAATGGCTTTCAAGGAATTCCACACAAAAAAATAATAACTGTTAAAAAAAAACCTATTGTGGACCATATACGACAAATATATATATATATATTTATGGGCCATCACCTAATAGGAGTTTCCTTATAATGCACCAACACCCCCAATATGCAGGTTAAAATTATTTTTTTTCAGGGTAATAATGGTATATCAATAAATACATAGTCCGGCACACTAACCACTGGGCCATACTCAGCCCCATAGATTGTGATGATGATGAAATTACTGTTAACATTGTAAGGTATCGTTATAAGCACAAGCTCCTATATAATATCAAATGATTCAATGGGTTTTTTTTCTCTGCACCATTTGTGATTAACAAATAATTAGTTTATAGAGATGAGGAAAACAGTTTTTATCATAAATGATACTGCAATTGAACTTTGACAATGGTCAGCATAGATTTACACTGGACAGAACAAAGTTACTACATGTATACAACATTTACATAATAAATTATATATAATGCAGAGAGTTGGATCTACATAAGGTAACCGTTATGTTAATAGCTCATCCAAACTCCAACTATGATACTACTCTCTTCTTTCTATCCTTTTTTGTTTCCCCAAGGTTTAATTAGACGAGTTGTTTATAAAGATGCCATATATGATGATAGACAGAAAAGTAAAGATGTAAGGAAAGAGTACTTTACAAATGATTAAATCCATACCTTTTTCGGTATCAGATTTATGATTACCTCATAACAATTATCTTGTACGTTTTTAGTAAATTAAGCTTTAAGTTTCTGTCTTATATTTCTCATAATACATTCCTCAAACACTGATAATACAGAACTTACACTCACCATATCTTCTGATATTCAAATTAAACTTGCAGCTTAAATTAACATGTTGGAAAAAGTACAGTAACAGAAAGTGTAGCTGATGTAACAATTGTTGGTTTCTGGTTAGGAAAATAAATATTTTAAATGTTTTTATTTTATATCAAGTGTATACCACTATTATGTTTGCATCACCTAACACTACTTCGTGAAATCAGTAGTATCAAACAACAACTACCAACATAGAAATACTTCTTTATATTAGCTCTTTGTTTAATCCAAATTTTATTTACTCTTTAAAGATCAATTTACAAGAAAAAAAAAAGCCTTACACACATAAAAAATGCAAAATGTCTTTAATATAATTATTTTTTAACAAGATAAATAGTCATTGGTTAAACCCTAAAGAAATTTTTACTTGAAACTTAAAAAAAAAAAAAATCAAATCACCAAAAAATATTTTGGTTCACAGAAGTCAGTAATAATAGCTACAAATATAATATATATAAATGAACATTTACTTAATGACAGAACAAACAGTAAATTGATTAATGCACTAATATTTTACAAATTACCATGTTGCTACCTTTTGTACATTTTATTTAAAGTGATATGCTCTTAGAGTGTAAGGCAAACATTAATTATTCCCACTTTGAAAAGATGTTTCACTTCTACATTGATGGCAGAATAGACAAAATGTCAGAAAGATGCAAAGGAATTACGACGTATTTATCTTTCATTATCAGATCTAGTGTATCAATCACTGAAACTTTTTTCATCATAATAATTATGTTATATTTTCCAGGAATTTTATGAGATACCATACCATTCATTAGCCTCTGAATGAAGTTTAAATAAGTTTAACCCCATTTTTTAGCCAAATAAAATATATTTAATTACTGAATATATCTATATTTGCTCCAAAAATAACCAAGACAAATATAAACTGGTAGAGACATGTTAGAAGTAATTGATTAATTTTCTATATACTCTTGATTATATATATATAACCAATAACTAAATCAAATTAACCATTTTGAAATCACTAAACATTTTGGAATTATATAGTTAATTCTTATGCTCTTCAGTTGAAATCTGATAACTTTAATTTTCCAGAGTGTAATAACTGTGTGTATAGATTTTTTCATTATTTCAAAAGAATATTTTGATTTATAGATCAGTTTCACACTCAGTTTGGTCCTCGCATTAAAAACACAAGCATATAAAGAGCCAAAAATAAATTTTTAGTTACATTTAGTGTTTGAAAGCAAAATTTTGCATTCCCAGAGTTAAAACATTCGGAGAGAACAACCACACTGAAAATTAGTAATAAACAAAAAAAATCTGGTCCGTTTTCATATTCCATCAACTTAAATTTACCATTAAAAAAAGAAAGCAGCCATCTACTTGGTTTTACTGAAAAATAAGTAAATTTGTATTAATCTATTTAACAGTGCTTTTGATTAACCAGACAATGTTTGGTGTTCAAGAAGTTTCTAATCCTGAAGTGATCTCGACTATAATTACAAATGATTACTGGATTCAGTTTAGTAGATGGGTTTTGGAAGTTTGAAAACAATAGTCCTTGTTATATTAATAGAATTTAAATGGTAACGTTTAATCAAACCAACTGTAGTTGATGATCTGTCTCAAATGAAGTTCCAAAAACAAAAGTAAAAAAAAATAAGATTGTGATATAATATTTATTTATTATTAGACTAAGTAAGAATTCATTATTTTAAAAAAAAAGTCAACAAAACCGAAAAATGCCGAGTTGTCTGAGCAATTTATTAATTTCAGTTTATCAATAACAATTATAAACAAGTTTTTCCTAATGAATGGAAGAAAAACGAGACAGAACATCATCCTGCATTTATTACTTGAATCTTAAACATTACAATTTTGGAAAAAATGATAAAAAATAGAATATGCATCTGAGAAGAAATGGTTGTCTTAATAATTAAAAAAAGTTATCCATGACCTTAGAAGAAATATCATATTAAAAAAAACAATAATGTTTCAAAATAAGATTCTCATGTTGAAAAAAAAAATTTCTGATAACCACACATCTTTCACAGGCTTTAGTAAATTGCTCTATTTTAAACTTTTATCAAAAAGATATTTAAATGTATTTTGTTAACTTATATAAATACTGAGTTCAGTAACATTCTACCTAATTTTTCAGATTGACAGTTCTGAAGACATTTCTATAACGACTTCGTAAAGTTGTAACAGTATCACTTCTTTAAAGATATTCTGAAAAATATCAAATTTCTAAGGCAACGTTTTCCACATCAAAAAGACACTTGTTACCACAATCAAAAGGAAAAAATAACAGTTTTAAGAGAGAAAAAAAAAGTAAAATACTTTTAATTGGTCCTTGTTTTTGGGCTTGAAAACATTAAGATTAACTGACAATAAATTTGGTTTTGAACATAGAATGAACAAATTATATGTCAACAACTATTGACAACACTCTGAGTTTAAAGGTCATGAAAAAGATATAAGAAATGTCAAAGTTCAAAGATGTATTTGAAACTTCTTAAAACTAGTCCAAGTTAATTTTAATTATAAGGCAACACTTTTAGTGCAATATAATCCAAACAATTAACCTTAACAACATCAACAACAACAGAAAACGTCACAAACACATAAATGCACAATTTACTTATAACTGGCCATGCAATACTTTATGGAATCAAACAACGAAACGGTAATACAAAGTCAAATAAAATGAGTATATGTACAAAATGAAAAGCATAAAATATAAACGAACACAATTACAATACTTCAGTTAATCGCTATAAAATTTTCTTTCAGCTGTGAAGTTATACAGAATACCTATATTTTAAAAATTAGCAAAGTGGAATGGTAATAGGTTGGATTTTATTTATAAAAAATTTAAAGTCAACAGGTGTTTTCGTATGTTTGTATTTCAGTTTTTTTAATCTGCACTAAAACGTTTTTTTTTCAAAGATTCTTAAAACAATCAGATGTTTAAGTTTTCTCATTCTGCAAATAAAGTTTAATATCAGAAGGACACAGAGGATAAACATCACCCATGTTTGAAAATATCGGTTACTAAAACGGATCAATCAATGTTGCTCGAGCTTATGCAATCTGGAGCAAGAAAAGCAACATCGAAGCACCCTTCACACAGGTATTGCATGCAGATCTATTATTTAAAATAGTTAAAATAATAATAATTAATCTTTCTTAACACTTTTATCAATTCTAGTAGTTGCTAAAATTTCATAATTCACAAATAAGCAGGTGTTATAAGCTGCTAAAATTTAGTAATTCACAAATAAGCTGGTGTTATAAGCTGCTAAAATTTAGTAATTCACAAATAAGCTGGTGTTATAAGCTGCTAAAATTTAATAATTCACAAATAAGCAGGTGTTATAAGCCACTAAAATTTAATAATTCACAAATAAGCTGGTGTTATAAGCTGCTAAACTTTAATAATTCACAAATAAGCTGGTGTTATAAGCTGCTAAACTTTAATAATTCACAAATAAGCTGGTGTTATAAGCTGCTAAACTTTAATAATTCACAAATAAGCAGGTGTTATAAGCTGCTAAACTTTAATAATTACAAATAAGCAGGTGTTATAAGCCAGATGGAACGTAATATGGCTATACTTCATTTTGGGATTGATTTTTGCTTCAAGACTGCAGTTCATTTAATTTGAAAGTTAAATATTTGTTTCCAAATCTTAAGTTTCGATACTTCTGACAAGCACTATTACTCATATCTTCTAGAACAGTGGTTCCCAACCTTCTTCCGGCTAGCTCCTATTCCAAAATTTCACAGACTTTTTCATACAATGTCAACTTTTTAAATTACTTTTGAATTGTAAAACAATATATCTCCGTATTAATACTAGAAATAAACGACCTTATACCACTAATTTTGAAGCTTTGTACTGTCAGTTTCAGTTTGTGTTTTAGTGAACACTTCTGAAGAAGTTGTAAAGCAAAACGTTGAGTAAACCCCAACATTTTTTTTTTTATCTTCTAACGAGACAGTGTAGTAGCAAAACTTGAAAAAATGTGCAAGTCACCAAATAACAAAGCCAATATATCCTAACACCATAAAAGAAGGACTGGTTTTTAATCAATGAAATAAAACCTAATAAGTTAAGTTTACAAAAGATAGCTGCCATGAAATCTTGCATAATTTTCCTTAATTTCTACCTTTTAGTTATCCAAAAGTATCCCTTACTAGATTGTAATGCCATAATCTATCATATCCAACAAATCTGTGTATGATAGACCATACCAGTTGGATAAGTGTTACATGACATAATGTGATATCTGTTATTCTGTACTACACTAAGGAAGGCATAAAACCAGATCATAATGTCATAGTCTATGATATCTAACAAATCTGTGTTACATTTAGATAGGCATTACTGTGCCATCCATGCTACACTAATAAAACCTTTGCTGTTCACAGATAAAAATAAGTATATTTCAGTAACTTTATTACACATCTGTTACAGAACTTGTGTCTAAGCTCAAACCAAAGCTAATTTAAAGTAATTTAATCTTATTTGATTTAAGTTATTCATAGAACATGTGAATAAATTACTGTACATAATAACTAGTTCATGGAACAGCCAGTTGTAAAATTTAAACTTCAGTCAATCAAAACTTTATCTGACCTATTCTGAATAATGGTGCGATAGACTAAGCTCATACTACGTATTGTTCACGTACTCACAAGATTCATTAATAATACTGATTGTTCGCTTGAGTACCAGCTTCACCAATGTGTTTATGGATATATTCGGTATATGAAACTTCAAGCTCGATACCTTTCACTTCAATTTCTGAGATTAATTTGTATGTCTAGCCTATTTATTTAATTCTTTCATACGATCATTCCATTTATTAGTGATTTTAAAATGTCAATTTATACAGATTACAGTAGCTGAAATGAAAATACCAACATAATAATAGCACCAAGTTTTGATGATACAAATCTAAAAGCACACATGACAATATAATAATAATGAGTTACCCATTTCATCACACCTCTAAATAATGTTCTAAATTCAAATCAAACAACTAAGTTCTCGGACAATGAATTCACAAAAATAAAGATGAAAAAATACTGCAAATTGTGAAATAACAAGAATGAAAATGTCAATGAATAATTAATGAAAAATATGAAATTTTAAAACTTAAGTGTTCAAACACTCCTAACACTCAAGTGCTGCTTTGTCATATCCAGAAAACAATTCACAAGAAAGAGTTCTTCTGTACTGTATATCATATAAGTATAATAAAAAAATGACTACAAAGAAAAATTATGGCTTGCATATGAATCTTGTTTCATGTCTAAAAATATCTTTAACCTTCTTTGTAACATGAAATTATACACAAAAGCCACATACCATATTTCTCAAATAACATAATATTTGTAGTTATATACATGCAGTACATATATATATATATATATGTATATTTCTTCATCACGCAAAAGAAAAAACTTAGCTTGCCTTTAATTCCCTGATCAGCTAAGTACCTTTAGCTGCTGGTGGAGGGAGATAAAAAGAAGGCCATACCAATTTAATTCTAATGATTTTTCCCCTACTCGGTGGTTTCGTAAGGTATGGTGCCCAAAACCACCTTTTGTTTTTACAACTTCTTCAAATACTTGGTCTTCTTGATGAGAATACAAGAACACGTGAGGGCACCATTTGCTTTTTGCAGCTCACTCACATTCAGAGCGATCTTGTTGAAGTCTACTTTCTCTTCAAACACCTACAGAAGAAATTCATGCTACGATTATTGGATGATAAGAAGACTAGTAACAAGAGTTTTTGTGACGAACTTTTCAAAAATACCTCGTGTCCAGCAAACAGATGAACAGCATAAAAAATAAGAAATGAAGTTTCAATTTAAAAAACAACAACATACAACTTTAAAAGTAGTAAAAACAATTTTTCTAACAAACATATCAAAAATACATTAAATATAGCACACAAATTCATAGTTTCAAATATTAAAAACAAAGTAGTCCAAATATATAGACTAATCAGAAACACTCAAAGAAATAATCTTACACTTCATTCATACTTTTAAATGAATTAAATATTAATGTTGGGCACATAGTAGCAAAATAAATAGAACAAAGTAAATTATGTACATCTACAGAAAATGTAAGGTTGCTTGATATAATTTGTCACTTCAATCAAACAATTTATTTATTAAACTGTGATGTATCATGTGGTTTTCACACAATTACAGGATGCTGTTACTGTGTTGTACAGAACTACATATAATTTTAAGTAGTCTATGAAAACAGAAATATATTTTTTTGAACATGAGGAACTTCCAAAAGATCAGAAATAATTTTCATTTCAGCTAAATATACAATAATAAAGTTCAAACCAACATTGCAACAATGTGTAACTAAAAGCTTTCGATTATATAGCACCTTCAACAAATAAAAAAAAAACAATAAAATTGAAATACATCCTTGATTCATCAGCTGAGAAGTGTAAATATTTCAAAAATTAAGCCTATTAAAGAAATACCTTAATACTTTCTGGAAACTCTGCAGCATGAATCAAGGTCCCATTGGCATAAATACAGTTTGCAGCACCTGGATCTGGAACTGTGACTGTCTGGTATCGAAAAGATGCCTCCTGCTCGATCCTCTGTTATAACGAGAATTCACCGACTTTGTATGTCAGATACTTATCTATCAGAACTGATAGTGCATGAAATAAACCAGCTGTTTTTGTGTGTTCTGAAGTAAATTATGACCCTGTTATTAACAGTATTGGTTGATCTCCTTTCAATGGTTTAATGTGAATTTATGTTAAATTGCATATAGGTCACATGACGTACTAACAAGTTATAAATAGTTTAGCACTGTCTTGTAATTCACTCCTGAAGATGACGTTGCAACTTCGAAACATGTAGAGTAGCCAAGTTTTTGAAGGCCATAGATAGGCCTAAATAAAATGTTTTTAATTGTGTACCAGTTTTAACATTGAATATTATTTATGATTTTAACTTTATACACAAGTGCCAAAATACAATAATTTATGATTTTAACTAAGGAAAGGTTTACTTTTATTCCTATATTGAAATTACTTCTTTTACCAAGGTAGATTTTCCTAATTTGTTTTCATTACATGATAAATATGAAGTTATCACCAAATGTAATATCACAGTAATATTTTTCTGTAAGAATAACAGTTCATTACTGCTATTTTGATTTTATTACTATTCAGAGCTAATGAAACCCCTTTAGTACAGAAATAAAGCTACGGATCAAAGTTATTAAAATATTTTTTGTACATATATATACAAGAATATAAAACTACATTTTAAACATTTGTTTATACTGATAAAAAAAATGTGTAGGGTAGCAGCCATGAGTGCTGATAAGTAATTAAAGAAATTAAGTCTGGTGAGTTTTTGCTGTCAAAATACCTTCAGTACACTCTTGCTCTCCTTCCCTTCGCTGACACAAAGAATGTCGGGTCCTGCCATAGACAACAGACTCTTCAGATGCAACTTATGACTCACTCTGATGGGTGTCACTGGATATTCTGGAAAAGCTGCAGCTAAAGCACAGGCTCCAGCTTCATTTGTACGATCAGTAAGACCAACAAAAAATTCTCGGCCTATAGCAAAGAAAGTTTCTTACATACAACTTCAAGTATTTAAAGTTTCTTACATGCAACTTCGAGTATTCAAAGTTTCTTACATGCAACTTCGAGTATTTAAAGTTTCTTACATGCAACTTCAAGTATTTAAAGTTTCTTACATGCAACTTCAAGTATTTAAAGTTTCTTACATGCAACTTCAAGTATTTAAAGTTTCTTACATGCAACTTCGAGTATTTAAAGTTTCTTACATGCAACCTCAAGTATTTAAAGTTTCTTACATGCAACTTCAAGTATTTAAAGTTTCTTACATGCAACTTCGAGTATTTAACTGATTAAAATCAATAAAAAACTACATAACATTTATTCTTCTTTTTTGCACTTAAACACCCCCCCCCCCAAATTTAAGAATAACCCTTGTTTTATGAATTTACACCTCAGAAATATTGAGGTGTACAAGCTAGAATACCTAAAAAATTTTCCGGATACTTTATTTGAATTGATTGTAATTTTGATTAATTATTTTACATGATACTAATTGATGCAATCAATGCTCATTGGTAGCCAATTATATCCTTTAATTGGCCAGCTCTACATGTAACACCAAACACGTTTAATAAGTGACACAAATCAAGTCATTAGAATAAACAAACACCATACTGAAGTTTTAAAGCAAACTTGTACATCTGTTAATCCACATCCAGAATCAAACTGGTACAAGCTCCTATGTGATAGCCATTGTTGTATACAACCTTTACTGGAAAGATGTCACTAATTCTATGCAGAATACCTACACACGAAAATTTGGAAAAGCTACCTCAACATACCGTGCTATATATATATTCTAAATTGATCAACAGTTACTTCAATTGTAACATACTGTAGTGTTACTTTCAGTGCTCATACATTATAATAGCGCGAAGGTTGCAATACTTCCCAGATTACACACCAGGTGCAAGCAGTTAGATGGTACATGTGTCAGAAGATGTTACCTGTAAACAGCACATCACCTCCATCAATTGTTGCTTTTGGGTCGGCAATTTCTATGATTGGCAGTTCCAGCTCCTTTTTAATGATGGTCCTGATAATTTCCACCTAAACAAAATTAAATAAAAAACACAATCAATATAAACCTAAAACATTTTGACACTAAATAGACCCCGAGGTAAAGCCATTATCATAAAATTCACTAAGAACCTTTAGAATCTATACAATAAATCTATGCCGATCAATATAGATCAAATTAAATGGTTTCTAATTCCCTACCGCAAGGGACAATTACTTGGTGTATTCAATGCTTTTAATCACTCAAACCTTACACAGATTTGGGAATAAACACAAAAGAATCTAATCTGGTTTTTGGGAAAAAGTTTGTTACAGAATATTAGAAAACTTATAATACACCGAATTAATACTAAGCCTTTTCCATAGAGCGTCTTCATAGCGAATCGACCCCCCCCCCCTTGAACTATTCGTTTTTTATCCCGTCTTTCCTATATCTGAGCGAGTTTTTTTTTATGTAACGGTAACAATAAAATATTAATAATTTCCAATCTACTAATGGGTATTTCTAATCACAGTATAAAACTTAGTTCTTACAAATGGCAAACGTGATGGATATGATTTATTGGTTTGACATTCGTTCTCAGAGAAACACCTCCTTGTCGCATATGGCGGGGAGTGCGTGCCAAGCACGTGTCTAAAATAAACTCCTAATATCACATCGGTAGGTATGGAGAGTCATCGGGAGTTTGTGTATTACCGTAAATCAAATATTATGTCCCTTGTGCCACAAGCAGCTGGTACTGTGCTGTTCTTTCTAAACCTACATGGAGATGACCACGCCCATTTCTTTATCCACCTGCAGGCACAACTTGGAAAAGTAAAGTTGCAATGACGGAGCCAGTAAAGAGAATTGCAGCACGTTTTTAGTTATAAAAGTATTCTAATTTAACTACTTGTGGTTAGTTATGTCATTGAAACATTTCGTTACCAACTCTTAAAGCCAGATATAAAAATATACAATTATTTCTTATACCTAACCCTAAAATTATTAAAACAACTTTTTTCACGATTTTATTGGTTAGAGGGTTTTTAATAATGTGTGAAAACATAAATAAATCTAAATAAAAAACACATCAATAATGCAGTTATCCTAATGAACTACTGCAGAGTCCTCTATATACTTTACAAAGATAGTTCATGATAAAATAAATTAATGTAATTCTATATAAGTGGATCTCACGGAGAGTGTAACTTTAAAAAAACAACTCGATAATTTGAGGGCTAGCATTAGTCTCGACTTTTGAAGCTTTATCGATTGTAATAAAAATCATAATTATCACTATGTTTTTAAAAATTTTAGTAAAATTATAGGTACATGTTTTTCAGGTCTAATATTTTATTCCACGAGCCTTCAGTAAAAGAAGACACAAAGATAGCCGGTTACAACTAAACAAATATAGGATAATATCTTATTAGGTGTTACTTCGCGCTTCCCTAACTTCATCTTATCCTCAAATGAACTATAATTTAGCCTAACTAGCTTATCGAAAAATTAAAAGTACTACTGAAAAACAAAACAGTAACTGTTCGTATATTAACTCAATTATACCCCGCTATACCTACAAAAGAAAATCCTACGTATTTGATGGTTTAAATCTTATAATTATAAACTCTTTGGAATATTTTATTGCTACAATGATCCTGTATACTGTTGGTATTAAATTTTTTTTTAATCCAAATATATTCAAGTTTGTTTCGTTCTACGGTTGTTTTCTACTGTAATCAATTTAACTATGTAAATACTTTTAAGAGTGTGATATCCAGGTTTTACTGACTCCTATGCTATCCAGGTTTTACTGACTTCTATGCTAGGTTGATTGACCGTATCATGATTTATCTCTTCTTTTTTTCAATGTTGTTTATATTCTGTTATTTAGTACTAGCTGGACTATCGGTCAGTTGGACGGGTGAACTAAATACTTGTTTGTAACAAAGGGTAGGAAATTGTGCTTCTATTTGTTTTTCTTAACATAATAAACATTAAAAGTGCAATAAAAATATATAAAGGTGCCAATACTGAAAAGAAAGATATGCTGTTTTCAAGAATTCTATCAATATGAAACCCCCTCATTGACCTTCCTTATATCATCTTGTATCACTGTGTCAAGTTTGGTGCTGATTGGTCAAGAAATGTTGAAACGTATAAGGAACAGACAGACAGACACACACCGACGTTTAATTACATAAATTATTCTACCCTATGGTCTTCTCTTGCATGATGGGCTGACTACAGATAGACTGGTATTAGTGTCTTGTATATACATTATGCTATCTCTTGAATTCTATTTTTTGTTATTCTTTTTGTTTCTCCAAAATATTTAAATCCAAGTTCGAAAGGGATTTTGCAAATACTTGTTTTTAGAAAAACTTAAACTACCACAGTTTAAATGCTATTTAATTAAAAAATCTGCTATTCTTTATTGATGTAAGTTAAACCGAAGTTACATTTTTTAATATGAAAATACTTTGTTTTCAGGTCTTTCTTTTGAGTACCGAGGGCGCTGACGCCCTTGGATGCTAATGTATTATCAGTGATTCTCCGGCAGATTTACCTGGTGGCGGCGCCATCTCTCCTGGTAGCCGTCCCCAAATCAGGTAGTAAAAAACGAGGGGGATGGCAGCTTCTCAACACCACCTTCCGCCAACTCTTGGACTACTCGTTTACCAACGAATAGTAAAATTGACCAATGCATAATAAAGCCCCCACGGCCGAAAGGACGATCGAACATGTTCGGCGACGGGAATTCGAGCGTCCTAACCACGAAGCCAGGCCAGGTCTTTCTTGGTTATTCAATATTATACGAACAACGAAAGTCTTGTGTCAAAGTATGTCCGTTAAAGATGGCTAAACAATAAATCTGATTTTATTCTCGACTATCATTCCTTGAACGAGTTTCTAGTTGAACACAACCGATTAAAATAAGGCGTTGACCACGAAGAATAACACAAGTACTTGCACAGGCCACCCGGAGGCGCGTGCAAACAATGAGATCATCGTATGGAAATAACGATGACGATATATACCTGTCCACTTCGTTGATCCAACAACGAATTACGCACCGAAATTTCGACGAGCTAAAAGTGTTTATTACCAAGGTTACGCCCACACTGTCTGACGTCCGTACACAATTTCGAAAACTGACCCAATAAACATGTGAAACAAATAAATCAAAGAGAATTCATGAGCCCGTTTCTTTTACCGAGGTAGAAATAAATAACATTAAAGACAGAAAGGTATTAAATGGGCTACATTTTCAGCCGCGGCATAGCGGCTCTGAATTTTTCTTTCAAGTATAAACGTTTAGCTCCATCATCTTCTTGACCGATCTGAGATCTAATTACAGTTTTGGACTCAAGAGGTCAAATCCTTTCGATTGATGTATTTTACCACGCCCAAGATATAATAAAGTAATTTACCCTAATCATGCGTAACATAATTTCAGTTTGAGGGTAGGCCGGTAGAGATCCAGATGATGTTATTGCTGGCGCACAAAAATGTAGCAAATAAAAAGGGGAAAAAGGTATCACAAATTAATTTAATCTAATCCTGTCTAAAAGAATTTCAAGTGCCGCGACTATTGAGGATTTCCTTTTGTTTAATCCAATCATAAGAACAGCATTTTCGTAACTAATTAATTCAGCAATTAACAGTACACGCCTCTATTCGTTACTGAAAATTAACAGATTTCCGGTTTTATTCTGCCAATAGTTTAAATGAAGATAAATAACACACAACCTTTTGGCATCAACACACAAAATACATGGGAGTGTGAAAACTAAAAAATTTGAGTCTTCGAAAATTTATTTCCAACGTCATATAAAATAGTATGAACTTGGAAATGAATTGGTTTGTATATTTGTTATTAAGCGCAAAGCTACACAATAGTCTATCCGTGTTGTACCCCCCCACGGGTATCTAAACTCGATTTTTACTAAGCATCTCTGAAAGTATTGCCTTAAAGTAATAACAGGTAAGTAAACAACAATGTATAAGCATAAGGAAAAGTTTTATTGATGGTGAAACACACTTCCTTTTTGGACAGAACACTGCCTACCCATTATTATATTCAAGTATTAAAGTTAAGTAATAACGACAAATAATAGATTTTGGTTCAAACTGTTTGGTTAATTCAACCTTGAACAGGTAACCTATCTCAGGGGCGGATCCGGAGGGGTTCGATTTGTTTTGAATTTCGCGCAAAGCTACACGAGGGCTATCTGCGCTAGTCGTCCCTAATTTAAGACTAGAGGGAAGGCAGCTAGTCATCACCACCCACCGCCAACCCTTGGGCTACTCTTTTACCAACGAATAGTGGGATTGACCGTCACACTATAACGCCCCCACGGCTGAAAGGGCGAGCATGTTTGGTGGGACGGGGATTCGAAGCCGCGACCCTCAGATTGCGAGTCTGGGATCACTTACGCTCGTATCCCTGTATAGCTTTCCATCTGTAACGTGTAAAGGGTTGAAGATAGCCGTAAAAGATTTTTTTCTTCGATCTAAAACCCACCAGAGGTCTTCGAAGGGGCCCTTCTCGTGGACATGAACACCGCACATAGCATCCCTCATTCTAGCCCATCAGCGAACAGCGCTGGATATAACTTGATTCCGGGGGGTCACTTCAAGATCCTGATTATAAAAGTCAACTCTGCAAATGAAGGAAAATATGTTCTCGATGACAGACGAAAGTATTAGTTGTTCGAACTTCTTATTTGCTAAGGAAATGCGTCAGGAAATGGATTGAAACATTTCAATTCAAAAACAAAATCAACATTTTATTGAAAGAGTCCCTCTTGTTCTTATTTCACTTCTTACTTAAAAAAGAAGAGTACCGTCATCTCTTGACCGATTTGAGATCTAATTACAGCCGCGGCTATTCAATTCTTACTTAAAAAAAGGGAGTACCGTCATATCTTGACCGATTTGAGATCTAATTACAGCCGGGCTACTGATGATTCCCTCTTGTTCTTATTTCAATTCTTACTTAAAAAAGGGGAGTACCGCCATCTCTTGATCATTTGAGATCTAA